TTTGATCAACGAGCTAGTCAAGTAGAGGCATACTAGTGACACTCTGTTTGTCTATGTATTCACACATGTATTATGTTTCCGGTTAATACAATTCTAGCATGAATAATAAACATTTATCATGATATAAGGAAATAAATAATAACTTTCTTATTGCCTCTAGGGCATATTTCCTTCACCTAGAACATGGACGGAAAGATGCAACCAGAAGGAGTAGGAACAGAGCACACCATACAAGACTAAGAAAACTTCACCAGAAACACCGCATCACCGCTGCCCACTGACGATCCTCTGGAGAGGGAAAAGATGTCGGTCAAACAACAATAGGGTGTCCAGGGAGGACGGGGCAACGAGGAGGCAGGACCAAGGCCGAGGAATGACGCTCCGGCACTCAACATGCGCACCGCTATAGCCGCCGGAGGAGGGGAACCCGATCCCCTCCTGGCCAGAGGCCGCCGGACCAAGCTGTCACCAGTTGCACAGAGAGCACCAGAAGAAACCCGAACACTACCGGACCTGCCAAGCCGCCGGCGCCGCCGATAGGGACACACAGTCGCCGCCGCCCGACAACCACCACACCGCAGTGCCCACAATCCAAAAAAGCATCCAAAGTGACGACTTCAAGAAGCAAACGGAGCCAAGAGCATCGTCGCCGCCCAACAAAGTTCGAGTTTTCACCCGGGAGGCTAGGGGAAGGGGAGGGTGGAGCAAAAGACCTGAATGGCGCCTCCAAGAAGGGGAGCAGCGTCCATGGACGTCGCCGCCATGGATTTCTCCCGGTCAAGGCTCCACACCAACAACACCACATCCAGCTCCACGCACCGGAGAACCAAGTCGACCCGGACCAGATCTGAAGGGGTGGAGCACGCAGGGCAGCAAAAGGGGGGAGGGGAGGCCAGATCCGGAGCCGAAGAGGCCAGAAGCCCCCGCCGGCGCCGCGGATCTCATCTGCTGGGGAGCTTGCTGCCCGCGCAGCCAAGCCCACCGGACCACACCCGCGCCACCACCAGCCGAGGAGATGGTGGCGCCTCACGGCACGAGGCCGCCGCCTCGAATTCCGATGCCCCCCGCTGGAGAAACAGAGCAGCAGAGGCCCCGCCGCCACCTTCCTTGGCGACGTCCCGGGCTTGCCCGGCAGATGCCTCTGGTGGCGGCGAGGAGGGAGGGGAGGAAGGGGAGAGGCGGCGAGATCTAGGGTTTTCACCCTCGAGCCGCCCGAGAGGGGCGACGCGAGGGAGGAGGGGGGGGGTTTGTCAGGTAGATGCTCTTTCAGAAGAAGCATATCTGTGATCTGTCCATGGCTTATCCCATGGATGCCTTCTTTTGCAGATTATATGGATACCTGAAGACTGTGTTGTCTTATGTCTAAAATAAAGAGTATAGGTTTCTAGTTTCAGTCAGCAGTGAATTTAACAGCACTAGAGTAAGGATTTATAGTTCCAGTCAGCAGTGAATTTTTAATATTCTGAATTAATGCTTGCAAAAGGGCCACGTATTAGACCATCTCCAACAGCCACGCTAAACAAGCGCCGCATCGCAAATTTGGCCATTTTAGCGCGCGCGCAACCGGTAGAGTGGCTCCAGCGGGCACACAATAACCGCGCCGCGACATATGGAGTTGGGCGTGCGGTCCGAATCGCCAACTCGTGTTGTGTATTTGGGCCGTCCGCTTCCACGCGGCACACTCGAGCGCTCGCGCTGCACTCTCTCATTCCCGCCACCTTCGCCCACGCGCGCCGGCGCCGGCGAACTTGGCCCGATGGACACACGCGCCGGCACCCCGCTGACCCCATCCTACAGTCGCGATCCCTCCACCGCCGCCGCCGTCGGAAACCCTAGCGCGGGGAGCATTGGCCTCGCCTCCGCCGGAGCTCCTCCGAGCATCGGCCTCGCGCACGTCCTCTTCATGCCACCGCGGATGACCTCGGCGGCGGGTGGCGTCGCGCCGCCGCCGCCCCGTGCCACCGCCTCCCCTCGAAGCTCCCCAATGCGGCGCGGTCGAAAAAGGGCAAGACATCTGCGAAGAAGAACAAGGCGGCGGACGGTTGGATGAACTTGTGGGCATGAACTTTTATTCATGAACTTATTTGTGTGAAATTTATATGACATATTCATTGCATTTTGAATGTTTGAAATCTATTTTGTGTCCAAAATGCAACATAGGGCATGCGCCGGCGAGTCGCGTGCGCTGCATTTTAGCGTGGCCGTTGAAGCCAGCGCTGCCGGCCATGCAAAACCAGACGAAGAGCGCGCGGAAAAGTGATTTTTAGCGCGCGGCGCGTTAGGCGGCTGTTGGGATGCTCTTACTATTGGTTTATATTTCCCTTGGACCTTGGTCACCGTATGTGCTTATTCTTACCATTTCCTTGTCAGATCTCACACATGAACGTTACATTTCATGACACTGTAACTACACCGTGCAACTTTTCCTTGGAGGTAAATACACCACGGGTCATAGAACTTGCATGTAATGGTTACTTTGGTGCACAAAGTTGCAAAATACGTGTTTGTAATCACTAAACTTGTGAGACCGTTCAAATACAGTCACCCTCCCCATACGCGGGCGTATCCATCTACACCAGCATGGCACGGGCCACTGTCAATGAAACATGGACGCGTTATTGCACAAAACCCTTGCTTCTTTTTCTTTTTGTGCAAAAAAAGTCAACCACCGATGGGACCTAACTCTCAGGATGAGCGATAATTTATCCAAAAAAAGTATGACGATCAGGTCTCAAACCCTCGACTTAATGCTAGAACAATACACGTCCCAGCCACTGCACCACATATATGTACAGAACCATTATGGATAACTACATTTAATGTACAAAATCAGAAACGCTCATGGAGCAGAAATGGTCTGCGGTCCACGCGACCTATTTTGCACTTGTTTATTTTTACAAAAATTTGTAGATAGTATGTAAATTATAATGCCAATAATAAGATAACTTTCAAATATTGTTCATTTATTATTCTTAAATAATACTTATAAATTATAAAAATGTTTGTATAAAAATAACAGAAATAATTTTTTAAATATTCATAATTCAAAAAATGTGCATCTTTTAGAAATATTCATAATTAAAAAATGTTGTATCGTTAAACCTATTCGTGTTATTTTAGAAATTCATGGATCATAAAAAATTGTTCATGTATTATTTCCAAATAATATTTATGAATAATAAAAATATTATTATTATTATAATACTAATAATTTTTAAAATTAAATTCATAAACTATTTTAATTATACAATCATTTCAATAATTATATGCACATTTTGTATAGTTCAATGTTTGTATAGTTTACAATATTCATAATTTAAAATCTAAACTGTTGGTATGAATATTTAATCGTGTATAATATTTAAATTATAATTTTGTTGATATAAGTCATTAGTAAAACAAGTTAATATTTATATTACATTAAATAAATATTTTTTATTTTAAAAATATTTAAACTTTGTAAAAGATTATTTGTGCAATTCAAAATATGTAGATGCGTTAAAAAATGTTTAAACACTGTAAAAAATATTTGTGTTAACTAAAAAATGTACATTGC